GTCTAAAAAAAAAAAAGAGTGAGATCAGTGTTGCCTTTTTGAAAAGTAATGAAGTTATTTGGTTTGGTCCTTCTGCATCTCTTTAAAAAAGTAGTTATACATCAGCCTTGAAAAAGAATTACCTATGCACAGGGAATAGGATTAGTGGAAATTATAATTTACCAAGAACATATAAAGCACAGAGAGAAAGGTCTTTGGTCAAAATTCTTGTGTGCTCTGGGAGCAAAGAGACTGAAATGAGATCTGCTAATTTTAATAGAATTTAAAAATCTTACTGTCATCAGATTTATCATTAGTATTTTTAATTCAGTATCATTTATTGCATTTAGTAATAACCCAAAAAAATGCAGGACTAAAATCACTTAAGGATGGCATGTCTACTAACTTGCTATTCCCAGAATAAAAAGCAAAATATCTGTTATGTTGATTTTGACAAAGAAAAATGTAAGTAATATGATTACATGTGCATTTTGGACTGGTCTGTATACTGATCAGAATTGCTAGATGTTAGGATCTTAGGGGGAAAAGCTCCATCCTCTAACACCCATGACTAGGCATATTTTCTGGCAACTGTTTTAAATGCTTCTGGAATTTAACTTGTTCTCCCTGCCCACCCATGCCACCACCTGTGCCACCCCCATCCCCTTTTGCAGGAGAAATGTTAGTGCCTACCTCATAAAGTTATGAAGTTTAAATCAGCTGAAAATTGTAAGCATTTAATGGATGTTAGCTATCATTCGTATTAGTCAGAAGACCTATTCAAGCCCCTAACAACAGGCCCTGCCACCCCGGCTCCACTTCTGTTTCATCAAGAAGATTTTCTCCACTTGGAAATAAGTACTTCTCTGCCCTTTTTCATCTGTCTTCTGAACTTTTTTTTGTAGGTGGAAATGTACATCCTAGGAGTTCCTCAAGTTTAACAGATTCCTCAATTGTTTTATTTCACTTTTCTTTCCTTCCTCCCTTTCTTCCTTTCTCCTTCCTATTTCTAATTCTATATGGGAAGTTGTCTCTTCCCAGCTCATTGAGAGATTGAGAGATTCTTACTTGAGTATACACACATACATACACACACAAACATATATATACATATATAAATTTTTCCCCCAGAAAAAATAATTTAACTCCTTCATTGCTAGTTTAGCCAGCCATGTTTGCTTCCATTCAGATAAACACCAGCCTTCTTTATAAATGTAGGACATGCCTGATTAACAGGCTGTCTCCCAGGACAATGGCTTTCACGCTTTTGCTTTAAGCTTATGTTTTTACATAGCAATTCAAGGCACACTTACATACAAACGCATAACAGAAAACAAAATTTCCTAAAACAAAACCTATCCTTATGTGGTATATTGTTTGATATATTCTATTTTCTTTCTTTTTTTTTTTCTTTTTTGAGATAGAGTCTTGCTCTGTCGCCAGGCTGGAGTGCAGTGGTGTGATCTTGGCTCGCTGCAACCTCCACCTCCTGGGTTCAAGCAATTCCCCTGCCTCAGCCTCCCGAGTAGCTGGGATTACAGGCGCCTGCCACCATGTCTGGCTAACTGTGTTTTTTTTTTTTTTTTTTTTTGAGACGGAGTTTCACTCTTTTATACAGGCTAGAGTCCAGTGGGGTGACCTCAGCTCACTACAACCTCCGCCTTCTGGTTTTCAAGCAATTAATTCTCCTGCCTCAACCTCCCAAGTAGCTGAGACTAAACGCATGCACCACCACACCCAGCTTTTTTTTTTTTTTTTTTTGTATTTTAGTAGAGATGGAGTTTCACCATGTTGTCCAGGATAGTTCAATCTCCTGATCTCATGATCCACCTGCCTCAGGCTCCCACAGTACAGGCATGAGCCACTGCACCCAGTGGATATATTCTATTTTCTCTTCCTTTTCTTTAAAAAAAATCCTGGACACAAGCCACAAAGTTGACTTGATGATCTTTGGTTTAGAATAAAAAAACTGTCTATGAAAAGAAAGATCCTATAGTCAAAGAAGTTGAAGAGTTTTGGTCATGAAACACTATCTATACTCCAGACTCTCTTTCTTCATGCCTGACAGTATTAACAGGAGAAAATAATTTTCTAACTTCTGTGGCCTTTATCTTACTGTGATTCTGTCAGCTTGAATCTAGTAAAGTATGTATCTATTAGAGCTATTTTCATTTTTTTCCTGTTTTTGATATTTGCAAAATTATGAACATAAGAAAGGAAGGACTGGTTGAAATGGGAAAAGCAGAAAGCAGGTTTATTCTCATGAGTGGCACTGATTGAGCTAAATTTGGCTAGTTTCTTAGGCATTGTTTATTCAGAAGGAATTGTATGACTTCTGGACTTCTTGATATTACATAATGGTTCTGAATCTGCTTTTCATGATCAGATTTGGCTTCTAATTAACCAACTGAAGGCAAGAGGTTTTTGTTTGATTTCATCTAGGTTAAGAGGTAAAAAGTAATTAGGGGAAAGGGAAATATTATATACAAGGGCAAGTATCCTTTTTATTTCTTGGGGTTTTAACTCATAATTGTTTAACAATATGGCCTTTACAGAAGTTTGTTGTTAAGATTTATTTTTAACCCTGTATGCTAAAGAACAGAGATTTTACCCAGAATACTTCGAATTCCAATGCAAAACTTATTGTAATCTGGTTCTGTGATTTTTTTTTTCCTTTAAGCTGTTCCTCACCACTTGTCCTAGATTCTCTTCTATTGCTTGGTACTTACTAATCCCCTGCTTCTTCATGAATTTTCTCTTTTGGTCTTTGTGACTTTGGGCTCACTTGCTGAATCACTCTGCTGAGCTTGTCCCACTTCTTAAATGAAGATATATTTGGAGGATGTGCCCTCAGCTCTCTTTTTCTTTGGTAGACTCATTCAGTCTTGTCTTTAGCTATCTCTTCCGTGGATGACTTCCTCATATACTAAAATCTGACAAAATCTACATGCCCTATCTTTCCATGATCTTGCCTTGATCTCTTATCTTGTTAAGATTACCCTTGGCTGTCACTGACAGAAAACTCAAGATAATAGTAAATTAGATAATAAGAAGCTAATTTATCTCACAGCAGTGTCCTGGAATGATATGTCTGCTCCACAATCAACAGGGGCCTCAATTCTGTCTATTTCTTGCTCAACCATCCTGAATCCATGGCTTCCACCTCCTGATGCAAGATGGCTGCTCCTGATCTAACCATCATGGGCGCCAGGAGAAGGAAGGAAAGAAAAAAGAGAAAAGCGGCCTGTAATCCCAGCACTTTGGGAGGCCGAGGCGGGGCCAGGTAACGAGTTCAGGAGTTGGAGACCAGCCTGACCAACATGGTGAAACCCCGTCTCTACTAAAAATACAAAATTAGTGGGAGTGGTGGCGCACGCCTGTAATCCCAGCCACTCAAGAGGTTGAGGCAGGAGAATGGCTTGAACCCGGGAGGGGGAAGTTGCAGTGAGCCGAGATCATGCCACTGCACTCCAGCCTGGGAGACAGAGTGAGGCTCCGTCACAAAAAAAAAAAAAAAAAAAAAAAAAGAAAAGAAAGAAAAAGGAAAAAGCATACTCAAACCTTTAAGGACTCTCCCAAAAGTTGCATATACTAAATGTGCTTCCATCCCATTGGCTAGAACTTAGTTCCTTGTGCGGACCTTACTGCAACGCAGGCTGGGAAATGTAGTCTTTATTTTGAGCAACCATAGTTTTTTATTAGTTCATTTTCACACTGCTATAAAGACATACCTGAGACTGGGTAATTTATAAAAGAAGGAGTTTTAATTGACTCACAATTCCACATGGCTGGTGAAGCCTTGGGAAACTTACAATCATGGCAGAAGGCAAAGAAGCAGCAAGTACCTTCTTCACAAGGTGGCAAGAGAGAGGCGTGAGTACAGGGAAGCTGCCACTTACAAACTATTGGATCTCCTGAGAATTCCCTCACAGAACAGCATGGGGGAAGCCACTGGCATGATCCGATCACCGCCCGCCAGGTCCCTCTCTGATAAGTGGGGATTACAATTAGAAATGAGGCTTTGCAGTGGCTCAAGCCTGTAATCCCAGCACTTTGGGAGGCCGAGGCGGGTGGATCACGAGGTGAAGAGATCAAGACCATCCTGGTCAACATGGTGAAACCCCGTCTCTACTAAAAATACAAAAAATTAGCTGGGCATGGTGGCGCGTGCCTGTAATCCCAGCTACTCAGGAGGCTGAGGCAGGAGAATTGCCTGAACCCGGGAGGCGGAGGTTGCGGTGAGCCGAGATCGCGCCATTGCACTCTAGCCTGGGTAACAAGAGTGAAACTCTGTCTCAAAAAAAAAAAAAAAAGAAAAAAGAAATGAGACTTTGGTGGGGATAAAGAGCCCAACCATATCACATATGTTCAGGTAAAAACCAGGTGTTTTTGAGACTTAGGAATTCTCTTTAAAAAAAACCAAACAAACAAAACAAAAAAAGCAAGCGTTTTAATACTATGAAGAAGATGCAGAGGAATGGATATTTGAGGTAACTCACAGCCCCCGCCACAGCTCCTAGACTGTTTCTCCTTTAATTTTCTTATATTTTGCCAGTATGAAAAATCGAAAGTAATTTCATCCTTCTCTGAACTTCAACATCACTCTTTATTTGTACCTTTATTACAGCACTCATCTTAGTGTGCCTTACATGCTAAATTATGTATAAGTATTGGATAACTCCTTATACAGTATATACAAGACATATAATAGTATTTTTAAATTGGTTGGTGCCAATTTTAAGTGGTCGAAGTTAAAGCATAGTGCAGGAAAATTACATTTTTTAAAAGTGGATTAATTTAATCTGTTCAATGCTTCATTAATCGTAGGCATGTACATTATTTGTAGAACAAATTTAATAGTCATAATGGACACATATTGTTTGCTGGAAGCTTTATTGAGAAGCACCTACAGTTTTTATTCATTCTGTGTGTGTTTCAGTTTTCATTGTTAGGAGAGGAAAATACTCTAAGATGGTAGGAATTTAATTCTAATTTACTTCATGTATTTTGTTTTATTTTAGTACGGCTTTACTCCGTGAAATAGAAGAAGGACTACAGAAAGCTGTAACAGACCATACAATAAAAGCCATTGTGATTTGTGGAGCAGAGGGCAAATTTTCTGCAGGTAACTAAGGTCTAACCCTCTCCCACTATCTCTGGAATCCAGCCACAGACTGAGATCAATACTGCATTAGCTGTGCCTGTGTGGGTAACGGATATGAGAGACTTGAGTGAGAATGAGAAACACTGTGGAGAAAGGGACAGAATTACAAGAGAGACCTAGAGAAGACTTTGGGCTTAGTCTCTTTTATAGTGGATTGGGCTTTTAGAATATATTTAGTCCCAGACTTGATGGCTGTTATACCTGCTGGTACACACCTGCTGATATATACCTGCATTGCTTGTATCTCCACCATATATGGACTTGGGCAAATCTTTTTAAATTCCTGAACCTCAATTTCTCTATCTATAAAGTAGGAACAGTAATATCTATTTTAGGGTTTTTTTGTGACATTAAATGAGAAAAAAAATCTGAAGTCCTCTACTACAGTACCTACACACAGAAGATTTAATTCCTACAGTCTTATAATAGCATTTATTTTTCTTCTAATAGTCACCCATCTCGGTGACCATGGCACTGCTTTATTGGGTTATTGTGTGAAGATGCAAAATTATTGATAACATATGGCAAAAGTATTCTGAAATGGTGACTTATTCAATGGTATACATGGCATCTTTTCCTTAATGAATATATTATGCCCTTTGGCAAAAGTCACATGGATATGGGGGCCTATTCAAACTTACTGTAGCCAGAGAAATTTAATATGTGTTAATGGTAGCCTGAAAAGACACAGATGTTAGAATCATGGCAATATATATAAAAATGTGAATCATTATAATATTACCATTTATCTTGCCTGTTATGTGCCAGTACCATGCAGGTTTATTAATTAATAATAAAAATAATAGAATTTTAAAACACATATTTTAATTTTCAGTTCTACATCCTCATTTACTGGTGAGAAGAGATTATAAGCCTGGGAGAGATTAATATAATGTCCCAGTTATTAACTGGCTTAAGCAGTTATTAAATGGCTTGCTCACTGTTTGAAAACTTAAGGTTTGTCACCCAAGATGATGATGATGACGCATGGAAAGAGTGATCAGAATGATAAAGAACTTGATATTTCTTTGTAAGAAAGAAGGTAGATCAGAGAATGTAATTCGAGTTCAGAGGCAGAAAAAATTATTCTTTTAAAAAAGTATTAGAGATTACGAAACTTGACTTAATGTGTGGACATAGAACAGTGCACCCCAAAATGGGAGAATGTACATCTTCTGAAATACATCTGGAACATTTACAAAAATTGACTAGATACTGAATTTTAAAATCTTGTCTAAATAAATTTCATTGAGAATATATCATCTGACAACAATGCAATTGAGCTAAAAATCAAATAACGAAAACATAACTAGTAATTCTCATGTGTTTGGAAGTTAAATTAATTTCCAGTATCCTCTGAGTAAAAACAGAAATAATGGAATTAGAAAAAATTTAGAACTGAATGGCAATGAAAACATAATATAAAACTTGAGGGATGCAGCTAAAGTAAACTTATCAGGAAATTTATAGCTTTAGAAATATGTATTAGAAAAGAAAAAAGGCTTTTCTAATGTAATGAGTTTTGTATTGATATAAAGAAACTGACATAACAAACTAACAGTAAAATACACCCTAATTAAGTAGAACAAAGGAAATAATACAGAGGAGAAATTAATGAAATAGAAAACATTTGGATCAAGAGGAACAACAGTGTTGTTTTTTGAAACTAATACAATTGACAAACTCGGGAGAGATTGAAAGAGAAGATAGGACACAAACAATGCATATAAGGAATGATGAAAAGGATATCACTGCAGATACCCTTAACCAGCCCTTAAGAAAGATAATGGCCCTTTTGCTGATGCAAGAGCCTGGTGCGGTGGAGGGAAAGGTACTGGCAAGAGCTGTGCTGCCATGGAGCCTGGGGCTGACCCATCTGACTGTCCGTCCATGCAGAGCCTACTGGAGCTGCAGTTATGCCTGGGGACGAGATGATTTTTGATCCTACTATGAGCAAGAAGAAAAGAAGAAGAAGCCTCTTATGTTAGGCAAAGAAGAGGATACCCAAACAGAGGAAACCCAGCCTTCAGAAACAAAAGTCTGGAGCCAGAACCAACTGAGGACAAAGATTTAGAAGCTGACAAATTGGACAGTAGGAAAAAAGATGCTTATGATGATCTAGATGACTTGAACTTCTTTAATCAAAAGAAAAAGAAGAAAAAAGCAAAAAAGATATTTGATACTGATGAAGCTGAAGAAGGTGTAAAGGACCCTAAGATTGAAAGTGATGCTCAGGAACCAGCTGAATCAGAGGATGACCTTGACATTGTGCTTGGCAATAAAAAGAAGTAAAAGAACAATGTCAAGTTCCCAGATGAGGATGAAATACTAGAGAAAGATGAAATTCTAGAAGATGAAGACAGCAAAAAAGATGATGGTATCTCATGGAGTCATCAGACCAGCCCTGCTTAGGCAGGCTCAGAAAGCAACTACACATAAGAGAAGCTGTTGAGTCACATGTTCAACATCACGAGGAAAAAGAATCCAGATATGGTTGCTGGGGAGAAAAAGAAATTCATCATGAAACTTCCACAGGTCATCCAAGTAGGAACCAAGAAAACTTCTTTTGTCAACTTTACAGATATCTGTAAACTATGACATCATCAGCACAAACATCTCCTTGCATTTTTGTTGGCTGAATTGGGTACAAGTGGTTCTATAGATGATAATAACCAACTTGTAATCAAAGATTCCAACAGAAACAGAAAATGTCTTAAGAAGATATATCAAGGAATATGTAACTTATCACACATGCCGATCACTGGACACAATCCTGCAGAAGGACACATGACTCTTATTTCCTACAGTGCGAAACTTGTTCTGTTGCCGATTCTAGATGTTCTGTTGCCAGTATCAAAACTGGCTTCCATGCTGTCACGGGCAAGCGAGCACAGCTTGGTGCTAAAGCTAACTAATTTGGTAATCACTGATTTTGCAAAATGTATTGTGGAGATGTAGCTGGACAGGTTTGCCTGTCCAGAGTGGATATACCATTCTATTAAAAACAAGGTAAAAAAGCTGCCAAGTTCTTTGGCTAGTGGTTGGTTGGTCTGAAATCCTTGCAAGATGCTGATGCTCAAGCTATTGACATACTTATCACCTACTTTGACAACTGTCAGAGAAACGTGACATGGGGTAAGGAGGTGCTTTTTGAAAATCATTCAGACTTCTGTAAAATGCAAGATAAAGTTATTATAACAGTGAAAAAAGATAATGAAGATATTATGAACATGTAAAAAAATTCAGCTTCCCAAAATTAACTCAAGAAGAAATAGAAAACCCAAATAATTCTGTAATCATTAAAGAAATTCAATCAATAATCAAAAATATCAACAAGTTAATACTTGACCCAGAAGACTCCATTGACAAGGTCTACTGTAAAGCATTTTTTTACATAAACAATAGGCAAGCAAAGAGCCAAATCATAAATGAACTCCCATTCACAATTGCTACAAAGAGAATAAAATGCCTAGGAATACAGCTAACAAAGGATGTGAAGGGATACCAACCACTGCTCAAGGAAATAAGAGAGGACACAAACAAACGGAAAAACATTCCATCCTCATGGTACCAATCCTTTTGACACTATTCCATAAGAAAGAGAAAGAAGGAATCTCCCTAATTCATTCTATGCAGCCAGCATCATCACCCTAATACCAAAACCAGGAAAGTATATAACCAAAAAAGAAAACTGTAGACTGATATCCTTGTTGAACATTCATGCTAAAACCCTTAACAAAATACTAGCTAACTAAAGCCAACAACGTATCAAAAAGATATTCCACCATGATCAACTGGATTTTATACCAGGGATGCAGAGATGATTTAACATGCACAAGTCAATAAATGTGATACACCACATAAACAGAATTACAAACAAAAATCATGTGATCATCTCCATAGATGCAGAAAATGCATTCTAGAAAATCCATCATCCCATTATGATTAAAACTCAGCAAAATCAACATACAAGGGACATAACTCAATGTAATAAAAGCCATCTATGACAGACCCACAGACACCATAATAGTGAATGGGGAAAAGTTGAAAGCCTTCCCTCTGAGAGCTGGAACAAAACAAGGATGGCCACTGTCACCACTCCTCTTTAACATAGTACTGGTAGTCCTACCCAGGGCATTAAGACAGGAAAAAGAAATAAAGGGCATCCAAATCTGTAAAGAGGAAGTCAGACTTTCACTGTTTGCTGATGATATGATTGTTTCCCTTGAAAATTCTAAAGACTCCTTTTGAAAGTTTCTAGAACTGATAAAAGAATTCAGCAGTTTCTTGATGCAAGATTAATGTACACAAATCAGTAGCTCTTCTATACACCAACAGTGACCAAGCAGAGAATCAAATCAAGAACTAGTCCCCTTTTACAATTGCTGCAAAAAATATTTTTTTTAATAGGAATATACCTAACCAAGGAGGTGAAAGACCTCTATAAAGAAAACTACAAAACATTGCTGAAAGGAATCATAGATGACACAAACAAATGGAAACACATCCCATGCTCAAGGATGGATATAATCAATATTGTGGAAATGACCATGCTGCCAAAAGCAATACACAAATTCCATGCAACCCCCATCAAAATACCATGATCATTCTTCACAGAATTAGAAAAACAATTCTAAAATTCATATAGAAGTAAAAAAGAGCCCGCATAGCCAAAGCAAGACTAAGCAAAAAGAACAAATCTGGAGGCATCACATTGCCTGACTTCAAACTATACATAAGGCCATAGTCAGCAAAACAACATGGTGTTGACATAAAAATAGGCACATAGGCCGGGCGCGGTGGCTCAAGCCTGTAATCCCAGCACTTTGGGAGGCCGAGGCGGGTGGATCACGAGGTCAAGAGATCAAGACCATCCTGGTCAACATGGTGAAACCCCGTCTCTACTAAAAATACAAAAAATTAGCTGGGCATGGTGGCGCGTGCCTGTAATCCCAGCTACT